CTAAAGGGCAGGTCTGGATTTGTTGCTTTCATATGCAGTGTGGCAGGGAAGGGCTCGGACATTCTGTTGTTCACTGTGTGTTTGCTGTGTTCATGAGTGACCCTGCAGGGAGCTGGAGTTCACCCTAAATATCAAGCTGCTTGACTGATGTATGAGTCAATCACACCCATGCCCTGTCCCCCCAAACCCCCCCCCACCCTCACACACACACACCCATTCAAGGGATGATCCTCTTTTTTCCGGCTGTATGAAGATTATAGAAATAGCTTAAGCCCAGATTTACCAATCTTCTCCAAGTTCCACATGCCAAATCCTACAATAAGAAGGGAAGGCCTCTATTTGAGAATGAGCAAGAGTTGGAAACCCTGAGACTGGGGTCTTATTTCCAAGCTCTGCAGCACATGTCCTCTGCAGGGCATCACACCCAGAGATCAATTGCCCTTATGAGAAATATTGACTTACAAAAAGACCATTAAGAGGGGACCCAACATATACAACCCACCAGTTGCCATACTGTTGACATTTCATTTCATCATCATTATTCTCCAGTGGGATAGAGGCATCATTATTTATGGTTCAGGAAATAATTGTGACTCAGAGATGTTTAGCAACTTGCCCAGAGACAAACAGTTGGTTATTAGCAGAGTCAGAATTGAAATCCCAAATCTATCTGACTCCAACAGATTTGTACACCAGCATTCTACCTGCTGAAGCAAATGACACCTGCATTTGGGTAGTTAAATGTCCATCATATAAAAGAAAGTTTAGATAATTGGCAGACACCAAAGCAGAGGATAGTCGTACATTATGCAAGAGTAACACGTTGACTTTGCACAAGATCTAATTGTTAGAACAACTTCCTGCAGGACACCCCTGGAGTATTAAGTTGGTGCTGGACAAACACTGTAGAGGGGATTTTTGGAGTAGGATGAAGTGTGACTCTGAATCCCTTTCAAGCCAGGGTTGTTTAAGATACAGTGTTTTGATGAGCTGACTCCCTGGCTTTGGTCCTCCTGTTGACCCTAGACTTACATTATTGCCTCTGTGGTCATAAAGGAGAGAGAGAAGGGAGAAAAGAAATCAACTAGTAGTTCAGTTCAAGATGGGAGGATTGAGAGCTGGATCCTGAATCTTTTATCCCTGGTGGGGATATTTCTTGATTATGAGACAACTGAGAAACCATGGCGTAGTCCCAGAGACATTTTCTTCTGCCTGATTGAAGTATAGGTAGATTGTTGACTTGCTGGGTAAACCCATGCCATTAATGAGAAATCCTCCTCGAATCAAACCTCAGATTACTAAGCAAGTTTCACCTGTGCAATGCATTCCCATTAATACCCGGCCAAGGCCTGTGTCTACCGAGGAATAGCAGTCAAGAGAAAGGGGGTTGGGGGCCTCCCTGGTGGCGCAAGGGGGTAAGATGCAGCACTGTGGAGCAATCCACAGCCACTGCAGCGCAAGTTTGATCCAGGGAGCTGCCCGCATTGGGCAGCAGACCTCTTCTGACTCATCTGCTACTCCCCTAAGCAGTGTATTCAGTCCATTCACCTGTTCTGTTCCCCATTCTGTCTCTGGTGGATCCTCTCTGGCCTGCACCCTGGCTCTTATATGCATAAATGAATAAATCTTTTTTTTTAAAAAAAAAGAGGAAGGTGGATATATTTCATTTCTCTTGTCTAAACACTCTCAAGTGGGAATAGCAGTGACAAAGGCAGCTTTAGATAGGGTATGAGATTGCAAGTGTTGTGTGCTCAACAGACAAAGCAGATGCTTTGACACCATCTCATTCAATCATCCACCTTCACCCAAGTCATTCAATTACTCTGGCTACTCCATTTCCCATCTCCCACCAAAGTTCTGCCATAACTCTGTGGATACCAGCACTCACATTTGACTCCCCACCCTCCATAAACTGTTTAATCTCAGGCAAGTCTTTTAACCTCTTTGAGCCTCCTGTCCTCTTGGTGGGGTTATCAATGGGCACAACCTTTTTGGAAGATAGTTTGATAGTAGTGATTAAACTGTAAAAGATACTTTGGACTTTCAGGAATTCATTCCAAGGAAACAGTGGGAGGTTGGTGTAAAATGATCTAAACAAGGATGCTTATTTAAGTGTTATTTATTATAGTGGGGAAAAGTAAAACAATATACATCCAGCATTAATAGTTCAATAAACTGTGGTGGTGGCTAATAAAACACACAGCAATTAATTTCAAAGGATATACAAAGAATGGAAAAGGCTTAATATGGTATTAAGTGAAAACTGAATAGAGGGAACTAAATATAAATGAATGTATATGAATGAAATGTTTTACACATATACATATAAAAGTCATTTTTAAAAGAGACGACAAGAAATAATATTAACACCATGAGCTCCAAATGGGGTGTTAACATATTTTTATGTTACAGTATTAATATAATATTAATTGTAAAATTACATCTTTTATATTACATATTCTATATTATGTTTATTATTTTGTATTAGACATTGTTTATGGTTATATATATTTTTGTATTTTCTAAAAGTTTACAACAAGCATGTTACTATGTGTGCAGAAAATTTAGTGAAAGTTAAAATACGTAAGATAGCTCCCACCACCTACAGGATGAAGAACAGGCTTCTTAACAGGAATTTTATAATCTGGCCCCAGCCTAAGACAGCAGCTTCATTTTTGCCAGTTCTCCCCATTACCATCAGCTCCCCAAGTCCATTCCCATGTGCCTCCCTTTAGCTACTCCAAGCCACTTGCCGTTCTATAAATACTTCATGACTGTTCCTCCTGTCACGCCTTCATCCTTCCTGTGTTCCTCTGGAATGACCTTCTCCACATCTCTCAAGAACCAATTCAAGTATCTTCACCTCTCCCTTGACAGTTAATTATCTCCTGTTCTTTGCCTCAGCAAAACTTTATATATACTTAACAGTGACTCCTTTCCTGTCTGTCAGCCCCACTTTCCCTTTCTTCAAGATTTTGTTGGAATTCCAAGGAGGGAAGATTAATTCTGTCTTGGAGAGTCAGGATAGGCTTCCCAGTGAGGAAAACTTTTGATCAGCTTCCCAAAAACTGAATAGGAGTTTGTCAGATAAACCAAAGATAATAGACACCTCACATAACCCTGGACCAAGTTCCCAATTGGCAAGCCCTTGTACCATTCCTATCCTATCCCTGTCTCACTGCATGCTGTGCTATATGAGGGGGTGTGTCTCTCCTCTACCAGATGGTAGGTCCTTGAGGGCAAAAAATGGGCCTTATTTTCCTTGGAATATTAACAAGTACCTGAAACATGCTAGGCATCATGATACCTCTTTGTCCCGGAATAGGAAGGTCTGTAAGTACCAACCCAATAATTACCTTTCTCCTTGTCTTAGTGAAAATGGGAAAAAAGACCATATGCTTGTTGCCTCATATTTCAGGTTTCAAATATGGGCCCAGAGATACTGAAAATACTTTCTAAATTGTCGGCCGATGTGAACCAAATTGAAGAAGTTGCTCATTGGGTGGGTATTAAGGGCATCTTCTACAACATTTAGATTTCATTCTGGTATAAAAATCCCACCAATATAAGCTTTGCTTCCCCTTTAAGCAACATGCTACACTTTCACAATGATGCCTTTGAAATAAATCCTGTTTGAGTAATGTTTCTGTTGGACTCATAAAATCTTTATGGCAATCTTTTCTCATCTCATAGACTATGATAAGGAAGAGAAAAATAGAACCATTGAGTTCGAAGTGGGAGCACAGTATCTTTTCATATGTGGGTCACACATTTAATGTAAACAGTTTTTAAATGCAAATCCAGTGCTGACTACATATTTGCTCAAAAATTCCAGCTCTGTCCAAAGTGCTGAATTGGTGAGTACTCTCTGATTAAAGAGTATCAATTTGGGTAGAAGGTTTGAATATATTAAAACATTCAGCAATAACTATACTAGGGATAAGAACACAAATACTGGCAGAAATGAAATACAGATAAACAACTTAGTCCCTATGAGAGAGCGAGAGCGAGAGCGAGAGAGAGAGAGAGAGAGAGAGAGAAATTGAAAGAGCTGAGCTCTCAATTCAGAGCTTTGACTCAGAAGCATGCTTTAATTCAACACACAGTTTTTGTGCAGCCACTCTGAACTAGACATCGTACTAAGACATTAAATGAAGTAAATCACAATCCTTGGTCCCCATGATATCATAAACAGTACTTGTTCAACCACTGACCAGCTGTTGACTTTGCACAATGTACTTAATCTTTCAAGCCTCATATTTCTCATTTAAAAATTTGGGATAATAGGCATTCACAAGATTACTGGGCAAATTAACTAAGGTAATGTTTGCAAAGCATTTTGTACCAAATTTAACATATTGTAAGCTCTCAATGAATGTTACTTGTTAGTATCAGGCGCAGCACACTGTGCTAAGTTCTTTATATCTGTGATGTCATTTTTTCTCTCATTTATCTGCATCAGTCATGTGGGGTAGGTTTTAACGTGCCCTTTACAGAGGTGAGGAGAGAATAGAGAAGAATAATAGAGTTCATTAACTTGGCAAGTTCACACAGTTAGTCAATACTATGGACAGAATTCAGGGCCAGTTCTTTTTGTCTAAAGCAAAATCATGTTCATAGTTAGGGTGATGGTGGTAAAAGAAGGATCTGAAAACTAAATGTCCATATCAACAATCGAGGAAAAGCAGATTCTACCCTCATCTGGCTGATGTTTTTAACAGGGCCTATTCTAAGGAATTGACACATGACCCAGGTGCTTGTGAATTTTAGGTCAGGGATACTTGCTGGTTGATGAAAGTGAGGAGAATTAATCCCATCCCATCAAGAGAATGGGGCCAAATACCAGCCTTCTGAAAATAGTTTCACCAGGTTTCCCCCTATCCCAACTAGGGAGCAGGAGAGGGGAGCAGGGACTGGAGCAGTCAGGTAAATGGAGTAGGGTTAACTACAAAGGCAGAAGGGGCTCAGGGATTAATATCCCTGCACACATGGCAAAATAGATGAGGGTGAGGGGGCTGCAGGCTATTTCTACTTGACTAGAGAAGGGGTCGTGATGGATTGTCTGCTGCTTGTTCACCGGCATTGGGCCAGAGCAGGTTGAGCCTGACTATGTGGCTAAGCAAAGGCTGGGCATATGCTGGCATTACAGAAACCCCTTTCTCATATACTCCATTTAGAACCTGCAGCTGAGAGAATCTGTGATTGTTCTGGTTTGTGTCCTGTGGAGCTTCTGAAAGGGGCTTCTGAATTAATGACAACACAGTGCTACCTCAGTGGTAAGAATGTGCTTTTTCTTTTAGTCCAAGAGCTTATGATTCAGTCTTGCAGAATTCAAATAAATATTCTCCTTGCTTTCCTCCCTGTGGGGAATATAAGGCCACAGAACACAAAAGTACCCTCATCCTCCCCCCAAAACTGCCCAATAAACAGTGGGAGCTATTTGAACTCCCTTGATTGAAATTAGAAAGGTCACATCTCAGTAGTATCTTTGGGGCTGGCTTTTCCAATTCGTGACAATCCTGGGCTATCCTGGGGCTTCCCTGAGGTGCCCTTCTAGCTCTGACCTTCAATGGGTGTCCTTTAAACCCAGAGTGCCTGGCCAGCCATCAGGCAGGTAAACGGATCAATGAGGGCTGTTTGTGGAATTGTGCTCCTCACACCTCTGTGTCTGCTGCCTTCCGTCCCAGCCGCTGCTGTCAGATCAATGAGGGGAGCAGATGGCTGTGCTATGACAGAACAATGGCTCCTTTACAGGGACTTTTCTCAGTCCTTTTCCTTCTCCTTCAAGCTGGGGAGGTCATGGTCAGCCCTGCCCCAAAACCCAGCCACTCTGGGGAAGCCCGTGTTGGCTTCTAATAAAGGTCAGCAGGAATCTCTGCAATGGACCACTTGCTGGTCTCCCACTCACCCGTAGTGCCTGCTGGTCTGTCCCCATTAGAAGTGGGTGTGGCTGGTCCCACCGTGTGTGCGTGGAGTCCATGGGCCCTGGCCTCATCGTCCACCGACACTGAAAGAGCAGGCATGTTGTCCTGGAGGAAACAAAACAGGAGATTCAGATAATTTCCAATGACCCACCTTCATACAGTCATGGCCCCAAGGGAGAGTTCTGGTTTAGGAGTCCAAAGGGCTTAATGAACCCATACATAGGACAGAAAGTTCTGGAGAGCAATTCTCTCAAGTGCTGCATAGTGTATTCCCCTTCTCTCTGCTTGTTAATCAGTCCACAAGGTCCCAAACATAAACTCCAATCCCTGGATCTGCCTGACAGTCCAGCTCTAGGGACCCAATTGACTGGCTCCCAGTTTCTACATCTCTAGATTCTAATTATCAAAGGGGTATATGATTGGTCAGCTCATTAGCTGTTTCAAATCCTTGTCCAATCAGGTGAGACAAAGAGGGGGCTGGACTCAACTGGGGCAAGCATTGTCATGGGAGTCCCTGCTCCAGTGGTGGCTGGGAGGACGGTGCTAAGAGGACAAGCAGCCCAAGGCACATCTGCCACATTGGTTTAACCTTCCCATCTTCTATTTGGTCTCTCTCAGGAGGTAATGGAGAAAAATACTCTTTTCATCTACCTCCTTGAACTAAACAAAGTAAGACAGAGTAAGGGCCTAGCTCTCTGTGAAGAGAACTCAAGAGCAATTTCAGGGTGTCCTCGTGGCTACACTATTGTCTATCTGGCTTTCACAGTCTGCAGAAGGAAACTCTGTAAATACCACGGATTACTGTGATTATTATGAATCCTCTAAGCAGCTGAATTTCCCAAATTCTCAGAGTTGTAATGCCTTGGGATTTAGAGATATAATTAAGAGCAGATGAGGCTCTGAAAGGTTGATGTGATGATCTGGAGTTGTAGCAACAGCAGAGAGAGAGTGGATGTGGGTTTCAGGACTTCGTCTTCCCCCAGGAGGGTGGAACAGGCCTGGAGGGGGGGTCAGTGGCCCACGAGCCCTTGCCTCCCAACTTCCCAGAACTGATGACCAAGCTATTAACCCACTCAAGAGGAGTTAGGACTAGGCAGCGCTGAGTCAGCCCTGGACCATGGTTCTGTGACCACTCTGAACAGCTTCCTGCTGTTGCAGGACCCAAGAAGAATGGCCAAGCCTGTCCCATTTCCTCTCAGGCAGCCATTTGCCATTTGCCTTCTACTCACACATCAGTCTTGCCAAGAGCATTAGGTCATTCCTCCACCCCCTTCCACCCCCTTTACTTTTGAGTCATTTCCCATTGCTTTTCTCTGACTTCCATGCTTACTGAGAGGCACAGAAATCCCGATAAGGCATTCTATGTTTTATTTGATCTATCGACCATGGCAGCCTGAATCTATATTATCTGTCATGCCAAGAATGTTTTGACCTTCTAAGGGGAAATGAGTGTTCTCCAAACCAGAGCCAAGCAAGCAGCTTAGATCCTTCCACAAGCAAAAATCTGAGACCTGGTGAGTTACCAGGAATTAAATCACCATCAAAATGTGACTAGCATCTTGAAGCCCTTGCAACATGGGAAGGGAAGCACAGTGATCCAACAGCTACCATGAAGATTACAGAGTGAGATGCTAGAGCCAGAATGCCTGTGTTTTGCTACTTGATTGCTGTGTGACTTCAGATAAGTTGCTTAACCTTTCTGTGCCTCCATCTTCTCACCTGCAAAACAGAGGTTACTATACCATTGCTGCCTCATAAGGTTGCTGTATTACAGGAGTCAATACACGTGAGAAGCTTGGAACAGTGCCTGGCATGTAGTGAGTACACAGCATGGCACCTGTTGTTTCTAGGCATTGTGTAGGTGCTTTACACTATGTCTTTCTCATCTATTCTCATAATTACCCTGGAAAATAGATTTCTGTAGTCCCGTTATGCAAAAGAGGAAATTGAATGTCTGATGTCTAATAAATTGCCCAGGGCCACATAGTATGTAGCAAGGACAGTGGTTATATCAGACTCCAAATGCTGTGTTCTTTCTATTTCACCATCTTTGGTCTGTCCCCTTCATGGTCAGCCTGATTTCCGGTAATAATCCCCACTCCCTTCCAGCTCCCTCAGCCCAGTTCCTTGACACTCAACCAAGTTTCAGTGATCCTAGAATCACAGCACCACTTCCTACTTCTGACAATTATCTGAGCCTCAGTTTCCTTATTTCTGTAAGCTGGCACACTCCTAGGCCTGCTGAGAAAGTGAGCTGTGGGCTCTGTGGGCCGGAAGCCCACGCCCATGCCAAGACCTTGATGTGCTCTTGAACATCAACATCAACACCAGACAAGGCCACTGTGTGACTGTGATGGAGTGAGACACAAACAAGACCTCTTCGTAGTCACTTCTGAGACCAGACAAAAACAAGAGAATTACCAAAATACAAAATGACCATGCATTCCCCTCCCGACCTCCATCCTGATGAATGTGAGTGACTGCTGCTGCTTAACCAATGACAACTGGTCATGCTGCATTCCTCACACCCTCTAATATAATTTATTAAATGCCCGATCATAGAATTTCACTTACTTCCAGACAATATCTAGTCCAGAGCAAAGCTCTGCCTCCTTGAAACCTTCCCCAGATTACCTCACACAAGGCCAAATCCTACAGTAAGCTCTTTCCAGCATCATCTTCCTGAGACTCCCCATGGTGCCCTAGGCATGAATTCTCCCTCCTTGCCACCAGTCAGTGATCCCAAATTGTTCAGCTCAAATGAATTTATGGTAGGTTTTGACTGGTATTGCAAAGGGCTGACACTGCCTTCTGGATTTAAATGTGGCGATGGCTGCCCAGCACTTAGAAATGGGACCTGGGACATAGTAAATGCCCGATACATCAGTTATTAGCATATTTATTCCAACAGAGGCCCTTCTCCTTTGGACAGAGATGGTGAGCACCCATGAACTCTACTAACCAGTCCCCTTCTTGCAAGTCCACGCAGACACTCTCATGTTTTCCTCAGGCACTGTGGCCGCCCCTTTGTATGTCACAGACTCTACTCCACACCACGGCCCCCAAGTCCACAGGTTCATTGCCTGCGACTCTCAGGTCTGCTGTCTGCCCTCTGGGGCCTCCCCTGGAGGACATCCTCCCCCATGTTTAGACAGCAGAGAGGATAGAAGGGGACCAGGTCAGTAGTGAGTGGCAATAGGCTCCGACAGCCCTGGGAGAGAACACACTTTGCAAGTGGAAGTTCCCTCACCCACTTGCCAGGGCTGCACGGGCCAGAGAAGCCTGGCTCGATTCTCTAGCACAATTGTATTCGCAGCTGCATCCACAAGGGGCTGCCCCCAGGCCGCAGAGTTCTCCAAGCCCATTGCTGCTAATTGCAGATAATGCATTAAAAATACAGAGCTGCATCTGTTCATTGCAACATGAATATCGAGGAAATTCCGTGGTTTATAATGACAGGGTGTGAGGGGAGGAAAATACTTATTCTGCCTGCGGGCCAGAGGCACAGCTGTGAGCAGAGAGTTGGAGGTGTGGCTTCTGGTGCCCGATAAGTTCTCTGGATGCTAGCCAAGCCCTTCCTTGGAGGCACCAAGGGAGAGATCCAGGTATTTCTCTGGAAATGTCAAATTATGCAACCGGTCAAGTACAGAGTATGTGTCCAGGGTCATCTTCAACTCTGCTGTCTACAGTGTTCTGAGAGAAGGGGGGATTCCTGTCAGGAGCAGGACAGGTGGACCTTCCATGAGCCTGCCATTTCTTTTCCAATAGACATGCGCTGAGTACCTAACCTAGGGTACTGTTCCTTATGTGCAAAATGGGGGTGTTTAAAGTTCCTGCTTCATTGGGGTTAAGAGAATTGCATGTCTCAAACAGCACCAGGCATGTGCTGTTTGCCAGTATGCCAGTATGGCATAGGCATCCAATAAGCACTGATTAATATTATTTTATTGCCTGTCAAACATTGTGTGAGATCTTAAGGGCCCCGGGATGAATAAAGCAAGATCCTTACCTTCCTTTACAAGATCGTTACCATCCTTTACAAATGTGATATGCAGTGGGATGGTGATGTGTTATGGGAGCACAGAGGAAGGCAATCAAAGAGGGCTCCCTGGAGGAAGAGACATCTGGTCTGGTATCCCGGAGGACAGGTGGAAGTTTAGCAGACCTAAAAAGTATGAAGGATGGTCCCAGTCTGACGCAGCATATACAAAGACCCTGTGGAGAGAGTAAATGTTTCTCGGGGAAATACTGTGTAGCAGGATCTTAGGGTGGGTATGTTAAACATCTATTGCTATGTAACAAATTGCCCTAAAGCGTATGTCTTGAAAAAACTTATACTTTCTGTGTGTTAGGAATCTGGGTGTGGCTTCAACAGTTCTCTGCTCAGGTTTTCTCACAGGATGCCTCAATCGAGGTGTCCACCAGCACTGCAGTCACCTCAGAGCTCAACGGGGGAAAGAATTTTCTCCAAGTGTATTTACCTGGTTGTTTGAAGACTTGAGCTCCTCAGTGCCTTTGACAAGACACTGCCCTCCCTCCTCTGCCATGGGGCAGCTTTCAACATGGCTGCTCACTTCCTCAGAGCAAGCAGAAGAGCTAGTACCACAGGAGTCCGAGCTTTTATAACCTAGCCTCAGAAGTGGCAGCCTTTGCTTCTGCTGCATTTTATTCTTTAGAAGCAAATCACCACATCCAGCCCACACATAAGGAGGGGGTGTACAAGGGCATGATGCCATGACACAGAGACCACTTAGATCATTTCATCATTTCTCAAGCTACACACCCGCCCTCTCCCCCAGAGATTCACTGAGCTCTTTCCTCATGTAAAATTCAGTTCCCCTTCCCTAGTGTCTCTAAGTCGCCCTCCCATGGGAGTGTCAGTTCCAAGCCTAGAATCTCCTCATCTAAAGCAGGTTTTGGTGTGAGCATGGCTCTTAGGTATAGTCTGTAAGTGCAGGTGCTGGATCTCTGGTTACTCAGCATCTGTAGAAAGGCAAGACTAAAGAGACGCGTTACCTGCAGCATGCTCCCAAACGTGTAGCAGGGGGCTAGGCATGAGCGGTAACAACAATAGACAGTCCTGCTCAATAAGGGTTCAACTGTGAGACCTAAAGAAATCCCTGGCCCCTAACCATTCTGAAGTCCAGGAAAATATTGGAAGCGTCTTGATTAGTTTCAAAATCTGGGAATAATTCTCCATGACTCCTGGCTCCACCTTCTGAGCTGGCTTCCTCCCTCCAAGTTACGCCTTGCTTCGTGGGAAGCTGCACAGATGTGAAGTTTCCTCAACCTGCTTCCTGCTGAGAATTTCTGGAGCCCCCTGACCTCTTTTACTTGGGGCTGTTCTCTTTCATTGCAAGCTGACTGTGTCGCTTCTGCTAACAGTTTTCTCATAAACTTTGTGGGTTTTCTATAAATCTCATTGAGATTCACTCTATCACACGAAAGCCACACTCACAAATTTCTTTGAACTAAACCCTTTTCTACTTTGGGCTTCTGCTAAGATGGCCAAGGGACAATGCTCTTATGCTTCCCAGAAGCCCTATGCTTTGATCTAGAGGATCTGTGAGGCCCACCCTAATCTTTTTAAAGGGCCTTTATGTGACTGAATAATACTATGATCCTTTCATCTTCCCAAGGTCTTAACTGAAGGCTGTACAGTTACATCCTCAGTTTCATCGCCAGGCCATCCTCCTTGATAGTGCTCAAAAGCCATATCTTAATTTTAGCATCTTTTGCTGTCTTGGGAGGCTGAGACTTTTCAAAACTATCAATTCCTGTCTCCTTTTTGCTTAACAATCTTTTCCTCAATTTCTCTCTCTTCTCATCTAAGCAGCAAGAAAGAACCCAAACCCAGCAGGCATTTTAACACGTTGCTGGCACGTGTCCATACCTCAATCACTACGTTGATAAGGCACGTGTCCTGTTCTCCCATACCACTACGCATGGGTGTCGCCAAGCTGGGGATGCTGCTGCCTCATGAGGATCTCCTTCCTCCGGGTTCCAGGAACAGGTTCCTCACTTCCTTCATGGCCTGCCCTGGCAGCATCCTCAGAGTCCAGATTGCTCTAACAAGCTCCTCAAAATATACCCGGCTTCTGCCTACTGCCTGATTCTAAAATTATCTCACACTTTTTTTTAATAGTTTTCATGACACTGTCCCTCTCTTGATACCCAAATCTGTGTTCATTATCTATTTCAGTGTGTACCAAATTACCCCAAGCCTTAATGGTATGAAACGGCATCTATTATTTTCATTCCTGTGGATCAGGAATCAGGGGCAGCTTACCAGACTGTTGCAAGCTATAGTAGAGGTGTCCTTGGGGATGGAGATGATCCACTTCTAGGCGTGCTATGGTTGTTGTCGGGATTCAGTTTCTTATAGGATGTTTGACTGAGGGCCTCTGCTCCTTGTACATTGAGCCTCTCCACAGGATAAGAGTTTTAACACATCAGTTTGCTTTAAGCAAGCAAGAGAGAGTGTCTTTTGTAGTCTAATCACTTCTGGAGCAGTGACCTGCTATCACTTTTGCCCTATTCTATTCACAGGAAGTAAGACACTAAGTCCAGCCCATCCTCACAGGAAGGAACTGCACGTGTGAATATGGGAGGTATCTCTCCTCAGGGACCACTGCAGAACTGTATCTGGGGACATGGCAATGGCAAGGCAGCAACAGCCTGATTGTCCCATAGGTGATGGGCAACCCATAAAACAATTCACTGCTGAAGGGGCAGGGTCCTCATACAGGATTCAGCCAATCAGAGAAGAGATGGTAGGAAAGAAAGTGATGGGCAGGGAGAGCTGTCCCAAGGGAACTAGTCCAAGGAGATGGCCACCAGGCAATGCTCACCATGTCACTGCTAAGCCAACCCAGAAGGCAAGGTCAGCCTGGAGGGGTGCGTGGCTCCCTTTAGGTCTCTTGCCAAGCTTTATCCTGCTTCAGCTCTTTTTTGTTGTCCTCACTTCTCTGAACCATCCTGTAGAGATCGGGGCAGTCCTCTCATAAGACACTTCTTACACATCAGGCTTCATTTGCAATGATGCCCCAGACAGTTCCGGTATCTCCCACACACCTGAAGGGCAGGTGTCATTTATGGACTGTGATTATAGGTGAATGACAAAACAAGAGAGTCCAGTGTCCTTGTGACTTCACCCTGATGAGTTTGCCCTGTTGTGGAGCTGATCCCTAACCTTACGGTCCTATTTATCCCCAAACAACTTATGCTTTAGTGGAGGCTGCAGCCAACAAGAAAATCTCAATGCTGTTGTGTGACCCACATACCAATCAATTGTTTTACAACTGGGATCAACTTCTCTGTTGGGATTTGAGGGAAACCCAATAAATAAATATATGGCCTCCCATCCAGTTCAGAATCAATTGGCAGAAGCAGGAGGAGGGCAGGTGGGACTAGTCTGGCACCTTTACTACTAGTGAACTGATTGGGGAGCAGACCCGGCCACACTCTGCAGCCAAGTTGGGGAGCGAAGAGGAAGAGCAGGGCAGCTGTTCCCCTACACAGCTCCCTTGTGGTGTGAATGTTAGGGCTGCAAGAGGAAAAAGGACTCCTCTGTGTTCCTGGGACCAGCAGCCTGAGTATCACCTGGGGAACTCAGAAATGCACACCCCAAAAAGGAATCAGCCTCTAGGGCTGGGGTTCAACAATCTGTGTTTTAATAAACTCTGAGGTTATTCTAATGCAGACCCAAAGTTGAAACCCCTGATCTAATGGAAGCTGTTCACGTGGAAATAGAAGACCTAGGAAGAACTATGCCCTGGAACATTCTGTCACCCAAGCTCAACTTTCCTTCATCCCTGGGAATATGAATCAGAGGAGTTTCACTTTCCATATTTAATTTCTCTGGTTATCTCCATCAAAAGGGAAAACTGTCGTGGGTTTGGTATTGGCTAGCTTTCCCTCTTTTTCTGGCAGAATGTGGAGGAGCTGGCATCCCCTTGTCAGTACTCGGTGGTCTCCGAAGACTCTTCAGTGACCAACCAGTAACTGATGTTAATATGGAAGCAGCTGGGTCCCCTTGTGCTTTCCCTATTACACTTAGATTACTCAAAATAAACTTGCCAAGGCCTGCTCTTCCCCAATCTTATCTCACCCACTTACACCACCAGTCACCCTGGCATCCCTTCTGTACCTCTAATAGGCCATGCTCACTCTTGCCTCAGGACCTTTGCACCTCCTGTCCTGCTGCTTCAGGAACTCTTCTTTCAGATATGGCATGCCAGGATCCTTCTTGACCTTTAAATCTAAACTCAAATGCCATCTCCCCTGGCTACCATTGACTATACCCTCCACCCCACTTGTCATTACTTATCTCATTACTCGGGTTTATTTTCTTTGGAGCACTTGACACTATCAAAATATGATGTTGTGTGTTTTTTATCTGTTGACTGATCTGTTGGCATCTCCCCCACACTAATGTAAGAGGTCAGAGGCCTTGCTGTATTCTTAGTGCCAGAGCAGTTCATGTATTCTCCAGCACACCTGTCAGGCAGGTGCTGCTTGTGGGCATGTGATTAGAGATGCATGACAAGAGGAAAGAGTGCAAATGGCTTTATGACTTCACTCTGATGAGTTCACCCTGTCCTGGAGCTAACCTTAAAGGGACAGAAACTGGTCCTGTTTGTCTCCAAACAACTGATGCTTTGCATGCAGGCATAAGAGTTACATATTTGTTGAATAAATAAATAAATGAGTACAGAGAAAGGGTCTAGGAGGAAAGATTCAGAGTAGAGTGATCAGTCAACAAGAGGGTGATGGGAGCAAAGATGCACCCTCCACTTACCCAGGCAGGGGCACCTGAGCCAGGCTGAGTAGGTCTGGAATGCGGGTGCCACTCCAGATTTTCCACCTGCTTTTCCTCTCGCCCATTATCATAAGTCCAGGCTCCTCCTTTGCTATTATTACATTACAATTATTATTTTTTTAAAGATTTATTTATTTTTTATTTATACAAGCACTGGGTACAGTCAGAAGCGCGGGAGGGTGAGAGAATTCACCAGAGCCAGAGCAGGGAGCAGAGCAGGCAGAAGGACCAAAGCACACTGCTGAGGGGAGCAGCGGGCAGCAGGAGAGGTCTGCGCACCATGTGGGACCCTCCTCTGATGGCCGGGGAGCAGCCGGGTCTCGAACCGGTGCTGCAGAGGCTGCGGGCAGCTTCGCAACCCAGCACTCAACCGCTGCGCCACCGGAGAGGCCCTACATTACAATTATTAAACACCAACCATCTCACAGACTCCTGTCATCTTTTTTCATAAGGGGGTGTTAATGGAGTTAGTTTTCAGCTGGGGCACTATAAACTATCATCAAAACTCTGACTTGGCCACCCACACACACATACTCACACAGAGAAGGTGATATGAGGGCTGGGGCCCAATAGCATGGGCACCCTTTAGCCAGAGAAGAGTGTGGTAGGACACACAGCCACCACCTGGCAAAGCCCACCCTTGAGACTAGACAATAACCCAAGTAGAACTGCCACAGAGCAGTACAGGGAGGACTTATTTGCCCTGGGACCTCCTCTACCTTCAAGAGGTTGGTAACAGAGGAAAGGACATTAAACAGGTCGAGGCCGGAGGGAGAAAGGCTAAAGACTGTTTCTTCTAGAATCACAGGGAATATGGCATTCTTGAGTACTATCTTCATTATCGTGTCACAAATGACCACACACTTAGTGGCATATGGCAGCACACTTTTCTTATCTCATGTTTTTTATGGATCAAGTGTCTTGTAACCGTTTACCTGTGTCCGTTACTTAAGGTCTCACAGGCTGGAATCAAGGCATTAGCCAGGGCTGACTTCTCATCTGGAGGCTCCACTGGGGAAGGACTCACTTCCTCACTCCCATGAATGCTGCAACCCTTAGTTCCTGTAGTTGTAGGATAGAATTAATAGATTTGGTGGGGGGAGGTCATCAGTTGTTGATCTGAAGCCACCCTCAGCTCATAGAGTTTCTCACAGTACCTTGTCACACCAACTTCCCCATCTTGACCACTTACTTCATCAAGCCAGCAAGGACAATCTCTAAAGAAATCAGCTATTGAGATAGTTTTATATATCATGACATAATCACAGAAGTCACAGCCCAGCCTGTAGGCTAGAGGCAAATGACAGTTTCTGCCTACATTTACCTGGAGGGGATCCTACCACAGTGTGAACACCAGGAGGGGGACAACCATCGGAGAGGGTGTCCTCACAGGGCCTATTCTATTAAAGGACTGTGCCACATGCTTTTGCATATTTATATCTTTTAATCACTAAAACAACCTTAAGGCAGGCATCAGCCCTTTGCATAGGTGAGAGCCCCAAGAGTCAGGAATGAGAACTTGCCTGAGGTCCTGCAGATCAGAACCACCTGTATCACAACACCAAGCTAACCTGTGCACACTTCAAGTCAGTGCCTTTCCAGTGAGGAGCAGGGGGAGGGGGCAAAAGCTGTAAGGGGCTAACAGCTTGCCAGAAACATGAGACCAGGAGCAAAAGATGGGTGTGGGATACATGTTGAGAAAGAGGAAAACTGAGAGCACTTATGTCTGATTATCTCTATTTTCTCAATGAAGCTGAAAATGAGGGTGTCTCCTGAGAGGGTGGAGGTTGGGCTGGAGGGAAAGCAGAGCCAAGTTGGCACAGCAGCTGTAGGGAACAGGAATGGGGAACGGGAGTCTTGCCAGCATGTGTACAAGGTTGCCAAGTGGGATAAAGCTGCTTCCCCCATGAAGACTTCAGTGGTCATCTTGGTGGGTGGACCCACTCCCGCCCCCAGCACCGTGTAGAGTCTTCCCTTTCCTCATCACACCTTGTACTGCTGTGCTTTATGCTCACACAAATTTCTTGGAGGGCAGGAACTGTGGGGGTCTGTTGTGCCTCCCAGTAGCCAACACAGGGCCTGCATGTGGGAGTCCACTACAAATAGCCCGATTCCAGACCCTACGTTTCTCTTGTTCTCTAAATGCTCACCCAGTTCTGAAATATACATTTTCACTTGTAATTTGCAAGTAAAAAATGAAACAGTAGAGTACAAAGTGAATAAGAATTAGGGCTGGCAGGAGCGGGAGTAAGTTTGTGCTTTTAGCTCAGTCTTTATGACATCAAATGTCAAAAGGGCCATTTCAGAATATTCCAGATCAATCTGTACTGATTGCTTTGAAATGTTACCCACAATATGCTGTTACCTGAGAAAGAATCACAATACACAGAAGGATCCCATTTTTGTCCAGTGATTAGTTTTGATTCATTTTAAGTGCCAAAAAATGGCAGAAAACCTAACTCAAACCCTCCTAGAAAAAAAACAAGTGCTCGTCTTCAGTGAACAGTCCAGGAATGTCCTGATTCCCAAGGGACTCATATTTTGGCCCAAAAATGAGCAAATGGGTGGCCTCCCCCCTATAACTCCTTGCTCCTGAGAGCCTCTGCGATTGGACTGAACTCGGGTCCTGAGTCCATGGGATCAAGCCCTGCTCAGGGTGAAGTCATAATGTGAGCAAGAGGAGAGAATAGATGTCTGCTGGATGGTGTGAGAGGCAGAAGCTGTCCGCTGTACAGGTTACACTCCTGCAGAAAAATGGCCAGCAGGGGCCTGCAGAATGATGCCGGGGTGCTGTCCGAGTGTCAGGGCTTGGGGCAGAGCCACACGCTTTCTGTCAAATCATTCCTGGCCCTTCATCCTGACTAGAGTGGGGCTCACCCCTGGAGTCTCTCGTCCTGGTCCATTAATAGCACCCGCGGCTTGCTGAGGGACCAGTTCTGGAAGTTCAGAAGAAACCTAGTCCCTCCGCTGGGCCTGAATTGAACAGGTCTTCTGGCCCTCCTGGTGAGGAAGGTGGCAGGCCTGGTGGCCATGCACCTGCCCCCGTGGAGTCCACCAACTGGAATAACGAGGAACCCAGCTACTCCTATCTCCACTCCTAGTCTCTTTACACCTGCAGTCTCCCACCCCACCTGCCCAGACCCAGCTCTGCAGGTCCTTGCCCACACAAATCCCTTTGGTCACCGTGGCCACTTAGTTCAATGCCAGTCCCTCCCCAGGATCACTTTCTGAACTCTTCACCTTGCCACTCACCACCCCCACCCAAAGCAATAGTAAGGCATCCAAATGCACACATGAGACCAGGACAGGTGATACAGATGAATGACATTTTATTCTTAATTCATCAACACATTTTTCCCTGTGTGCTGGTTCCTGGTTGACCCTGGATCTTCCTGGCCTTCCGCTCCTTGCGGTAGTCTTCCAGATCTTCTTGATACTTCGTTCTCAGGAGAGCAGCTCTTTGTTCATAGGGTCGCTTGTCGGTGTCAGTTGTTGTAGACCACATCTTCCCTGAGGCTTTGGCCACCTGCACCACGGACCAGCTCGGATTGTCCCTCTTCAGCTGGGCATAGTGGTCCTGGCAAAAGAGCAGGAAGGATGATGGTGGCCGCCGGGGTGCCTGGGGGTCCCGCTTTCTCCGTTTCTTCCTCTTGCCGGTGTAGTTCATCATCTCTTCCTGGTATCGGGCTTTGTCAAGCTTGGCCAGGGCTTCGTACTTGGCCTTTTCGTGCTTTGAGATGGACCTCCATTTTTCTGAACATTTTCTAGAGAAATCTTTAAAGTCGAGATAGGTATTTGGCTGTTGCTCTTTGAACTTGTTTCTATAATTCAGCAAAAAGTGGATGTAAGAAGAGACATTCACCTTAGGCCTCAGTTGGATTTGTTTACCCATATTCATAAGATCATTTTTATTTCCGGATGCAGTAATGTGGACAAGCAGAGACTTTTGTCCCCACACCCCAGGAACAGTCTGGAAGGTGCTCTGCTTGCGGTGAATTTTTCTCTCTGGTGGAGCTGCAATCAGGTGGGGGCCTTTTCAGTGGTGAGGACATTGTTGGGTCAGAGGCAGGGACTGTGACATCACCCACAGCTGCCCACTCCCTGCCAGCACCCGAGGCATTTGCATATGGGTCATCTCATTGGTTCATTGGCCACTGGAGGGTCTGTTTTGCTTCTCCTGAAGGATGGCAGTTCTTCTGGAACAGGCCCTGGAGGAGCTGCCTCTCTGGCTGTATTTCTTCTTGGCTTCCTGGAGGCAGTGGGCTTGGCTCAGTTTCTGGAGCCTCCAACCCCTGGTCTCTAGTAACGAGCCACGGGGTCTGCCTTCCTCACCGTAAAAGTGTCAGGATGCCACATCATCCCTTCCAAAGGCAGGCTGGAAATAATGAACACGAGGAGGTGGATGACTCCGGAGCTGTCACGATAAAATGTGAAGTCTTTCTGTTTGCCTTGAACGGTGGCAGCTCGTAACTGCACAAAGGGTTTAGTAGTAACTCTAAAAATAATCAGGTGTGACAGCTATGACTCGCTTCCTGTCAGGACAAAGTTGTCTAATTTAAAACCTGAGCACTTGGGCCCTAAATCTAAATTCCTCATTTCTCTGAAGAAATTGGGGTGGGGGGAGATGGGAGGAGAACCCTGAGATTTTACTAATGATACCTGAGTCCATGAACGTGAAATAGACTCCTTAGCCTCCAGAAGACCTCCCTACTGTCAAGAATCCCCATTTCTTGAGGATAGAGTGCAAAGCCCTCACAGCTGCACTCCAACTAGTTGGCCTCTGGCTTTCTGGAAAGACAGTTGCAAATATTCTACCAGTCTGGAGGGAGATGGGAAGCCAAAGGAGAGACAATGAAAGCCTCATTTATTGACCTTTGGAGACAGCCAGGTCCTTGCTTGCATGGATCTGGATTTACACAGCTTGGTTGATGATTGCACCAGATTTATAGGACTAGCACACCAAGCCTCATTAAATAAAAAGTCATCTGTTGAAGGTAAACCAGCCACTAACAGGTGGGAGCTTGGATTTGGACCAATTTGCATGACTACACTTGTGCTTCATCCTGTGGGCACCAAAATGTTGCTTCAAGGGCTGAGGGTTCCTCAGTGGCCTGAGAAGGAAACTTGCCTAAGATGGGAGCACATTTGGAAATTTTGCCAAGTCCTACCCCAAGGCTCCAAGAGTGACTTCAAAGTCCATCTTCTATAAAAGAAAGATGGAAATTGATTAGAGTCCCCAGCCCGGAATTTTAGGCCCAGTTCTGCCAGGAGGTTGACTGGGCTACTTACATCAGCCCCTTCCTTCCTGTGAGCCTGTGGCTTCTCCTCTGTGAGGTCAGTGTTGTGGACCGGCTAGGAAAGACCCTCCAGGTGACGTGCTAGGTTTTGCATCTGCATTTGGGGGCCTGTACGATATCAGATGCCAGCTGAGGACGTCTGCGCTAGTAGTAGGAGTGGATGACTCCAGGGACATTTCTCAGCCCAGGTAGTTTTGTTCTCTCTGGTTCTTTGTCCCAAGGGGCCAGAGGTTGACTCACTGGTTCTTTGGACTTGAATTGGGCTGCAGAGATGAATGGGATCAGCTCCATTTTGAGATGGAAGGATGGGTTGTGAGGAGGACCTTGTCTAACATCTATACATGTTCATCAGATCCTACTCAGATTCACAAAAAAAAAAAAAAAAAAAAAAAAAAAAAAAACACCAAAACACTTCCAGCTACTTATCTGTTTGTGGCTTTCCACTCCTAAGATCTGGGAAGATTAACCTATGATAACCATCTGAGCCTAGAAGATCTCAGAAGAGAAGGCAGAGGAAGATAAAAGCTAAGGCAACCCTTTGGTATTCAGCCACACTCCTGACTTGGAGGGCTAAGGCAGGTGTTCTTTAGGGGAGCTTAGGAGGATAAGCACCTATGGCTTTGGGAAATCAGTGCTGTGGATGCTGGTGTCTGAGGCTGACCCCTTCAGATCCCCTTTCCAGCCTTCCCCACCCTACTCTCTACCCTGGGGAATTCATCTATAGGAGTGAACCCACATCAGTGAACCCTCATCCCAACCCATTTGGCTTCCACTTCAGTTTGGCCAGTGGAGACCTCAGCAGGAGATCAGGGAGAATGGAAAGGGAGCTCAAGGCATTTATTGCCTGTCTGTCTCCCCACAGTCACCTGGAGCTGGCTCTCCATTCCCTGTACTGCAGGTCCTGGCTCCGCTGAAGGTATCCTCTCGTCCCAGGCTCAGGAATTCTCCCTCTCCTTGTCTGCTCTGACTGAGGGTGCCTTTATTAGCCTCGAGGACTCTGCTACCCTTTGTGACTTCCCTGCACTTGCCCTTACCTTTGTAAATAACCTCTTCATTAAACACTCCTCAATTTAGAGTAATTTGAGTGGCCATCTGTTTCCTGCTGGAACCCTGATCGATGCGCCATGTTTCTAGCCTACTAGCGTGAACAGCCATGGAGGTGCATAAATAAAACAAATGTGGGCATCAGTCCAAGGTAGAAAGGTCTGGAGCTTCTGGAGGCCCAGATGCTCAGCAATCACCTGGCTAGAGGGCTCTGCGAGGCAGGCGTGGCTAGCAGGGCAGTGGCAGGACAGGCCCACAGGACCACAGAAGAGGCATCTAAAATCTTATGAGGTGAGCACTAGGCAGGGGCATTGGTCCAGAGGGCCGGCTAGGAAATAGTCAACTCGGTGTTGTAGCTCTCAAGTAGCCATAGACAATGTGTATGCAATGGGCATAGCTGGGCCCCCATAAAACTTTACAAACACAGGTGGTAGGCTGGGGTTGTAAATCACCAACTCCCTCACCCCCAGCTAGAGATGTGAGTTAGATATATTCAGATGTTTTGATTGAAGTCTGTAGTAAAAATACATAGTAGAGTATGACCCATTTGTGCACATACGAGATTCGAGGTATTTGCATAATATGATACGTGCCAGTCTCTGTTCTATGCACTTCACCACCGTCGAGGCATCTATTTAATCCTTCAAACAGCCACGTAGGGGCTGTGCTATTTTTATCTACTGTAATGATAAAAGGGTTTTTAAACATGGAGAGTTTACAGAAACAAAAGTTTACTTATTACATGCGTGATGTACTCTTTTCTATTTTGTTACGATCTCTGTTTTATTGTTTTACGTGCAGCCCACTGACTGGTCTCATGACCCAATGGGTCATGGGTCACAATCTGTGTAGGAATTTGAAAAACACTGAGTGCTCCCACCTCAGAGACTGTGATTTCACTTTATTTGGTGATAAAATGAAATAAAAATTAAAATGTGGTCTTGGGAGCCAGCGAACTTGAGTTCTAATTCTGCCTTCCCCGCTTACTAGCTGGGTCACTGTGGGCCTTATCTGAGCAGCAAGGTGAATAAAAGGATGTAAAAGAACTAGTGGAAATGATGGGATAAGGATGTCTGACCCCCCTCTTATCCCATGTATGGGCGGAACTTAGGGACTTGCTTCTAATGAATAGAGTGTGGAAAAGGAAGTCCTTTTACAGTACAGGAAGCTGCAGGTCCCACCAACCAGGTGATCAAAATGACCACCACCAGTCACAGACCATGTTGCTAGCACATCCCTCCTACTATGATGTGATAATAAGATCATCTCACCCTGGGGTATCTTCCATGCCCCTGACCTAATCCTGTGAAAATATCGGCCAAATCCAATTTAAGGGAGTATCTACAAAATACGTGACCATACTCTTCAAAAGTGTTAAGGTCTTGAGAACACTAGGAAAGCCTGAGAAACTGAGACATATTGGAGGAGAGCAAACAGACATGACCTCTCTCTGCCATGGGAGAGCTGGGGTGGATCCTGGCACCACATACACACACACACAAAAAAAAAATGTATCAGTGATAAAACTGGGGCAGTCAGAACAAAACCTTCCATCAAACAAACTGTCCTGACACTGATTCTTAGTTTTGATACATGCACCATGGTTTATATGATGCTAATTTTAGGGGAAGCCGGCTGGGGAGTATACAGAAAATTTCTGGACTATTTGCAGCTTTAGTCTCATTTCAAATGAAAAATGTTTTTTAAATCTCTGCAGCTGACAGACATGGGCACCCAGGCTTGAGACACCCGGCTCTTGATCCTTCTCCTGGAATCATAGGGCAGACTTTACCCTCAATTGCTGCCAACTATGCTCTTGACACAGCATCTGTCAAAGTGTTTCTCAAATTTGGGGCATGCTGGAACCGCCTGGGGAGCTTTTAAAAGTCCCATTGCTCAGGAACAGCAACAGCAAGCCCCAGAGCCAGATACCTGGTAGGGGCTCATGATGAGGGCTTTGCTGCCTCCCCCCTTCACACACCCCTCCTCCTGCGGACTGGGAATCTATGGCTGCACTTAACCTCTGAGTGAAACGTCTGCGGTAGGTAGGGGCGTGGTTCTGCAGTGATTCCTCATTCTAAGCCCCGAAGTCAGTGAGCATGTTACCACCAGGGCGAAGGGAACTTTGCAGATGCGATTATGTTAAGGTTTTGAGATAAGAGAATTTTCTTAGGTTATCCAGGTGGCCTGATGTAATCACATGGGTGATCACATGGGCCCATGTAATCACATGGGTCCTTAAATGAGGAAGGCAGGTGTGTCCAATACAGAAGGAGATGCCAAGATAGATGCAGGTCAGAGTCAGCAAGAGACTTGAAGATGCAGCTTTGCTGGCTTGAACATGGAGAAGAACATCACAATCCATAAAGTGGAGGCAGCCACTAAGGAAGCAAGCACGTGGATTCTTCCTGAAAGCCACAGGGCACACAACCCTGCCCACAGCTGAGCCAGTGATCCCACTTTAGATTTCTGAGCTCCAGAGTTATAAGCTCGGAAATGTTTACTTCAAGCCCCTATATTTGTAAAAGCAGCAACAGGGAGCTCCCACAGTATCCTTCTCCTCCAACTGGCAGCCTGTCATTCAAGCGCTGCATGGGTTAATACAGATGGAAAATGAATAGCATCACTTATTGTATTCATTGAGGGGGCTGGGAGCATGATCTCCTCAATTTTACACTCTTCTTCACTCACTTGCTGACTCATTAAGTCACTAATTCACTCGTTTGC